AAATGGCTTTATGACATCTTCTATTGATCATTTTCTGTAAAAAAGAAAATAAAATGAAAAAGACCAAACCTAAGATCACACACATTTTCCAAAGATCTTCGTAATGTGTGAGCTGTACTTGTGAGTACAGTTTTTTGTATTATTATTATTGCTTGGTAAGTCCGCCAAATTTCTCTCAGTGACTGACTGAATTTTCTACTCGGAAAAATAGGATTTTAACTTTTTTTCTTATGACTAAACGTAGGACTATCCAACAGATTTTCTGTTTTCCTAGAGGAAAAGAAAAATCTTCTGTATAATCGGCTTTTTTTTTTCGTCTTTTACATTTATTCTGGAGATTTGTTGCGGGTATAAATTGATCAAATTGTTATTCAATAACTGTATCGGAAAGAAAAGACTAGGAAAACAATTCCTGACGTCTAACAAACGCCTTTTAATGATACAATTTGATCAGAATATTTTGTCATCTGGTATGCTTAAGGAAACAAGAATAAAAAAATGGGAAAAAATTATATTTCTGATATTAACACTATGAAATCCTATCTGCAATCTATATGTATGACCTTAAAAGATATTTTCGAAAACAGGCGATGATTGGAAAATATACCAGAATCTATTGCAGAAAAAAGCAAGGTCAAATTGGCCGATATTAGGGAACCTTAAAAAATTCTAAAGACTCAATCAAAAAATTGTCATTGGAAGTCCGGTATCTTGATGGAAAGCATCATATATTAAAAGAATGCATTAAAAATCTCTTTAGATTATATGATTATTTTTTATCACTGGATCAAACAAAATAGGTATTTATTACACGAAAGATACGAAAATTACTCGGATTTCTTTTCCAGAAATTGAAAGTAAATAAATAAAATAAATTTCATTTTTGCACACTGATTTATTCGAGCTAATAACTTCATCGTGTTATCATTACGTTTCAGCGATGATACATTCTGTCCTTCTTCAGGTGGCTGTAAGAATTGGTAATTATTTAGCAGTTTGAAAGCGAGTTCTTTATTCAGCTTATAGCAGCGGCTCAGAAAGAAAAAAAAAACAAAAAGCTGAGTTTCATTCACGTCGGTTTCGTTATAATCATATAAAGCTATAAAATATTCTTATATTACATATTCCTACGAATCTATATCCTCCCCAAGCTATGGGTTAAATAGAATATGGAAAAATTGTTATTCTCAAAAGAATGTTAGTACAATGTTTACTCACAAAAAAAATTCTTAAAATCCAAAATATAACTTGGATTTAAATAACTCGCAATGAGTCGATAAACCGTAAAAAACAAATCGATCACTTAATCAATTATTCAATACATGTAAGGGGATATTTTTATTTTACAGAGCACGGTAACGAAAGATGCATCCCAAAAACTAAGCAGAAACAGAAATATTTTGTTAAAAACAAAGAAAAATGTGCTGAATTTTTATGTGATATCCATCCACTTATATGTCATTAAATCGACATATAATCTTACCACAGACGAAGAGGAAACTAGATGTAATAATAATGTCGTTTTACAGAAGGATGCTGAGAATTGCAACAATTTTGGACTGTTTCTTTTGCTGACAGACATACATTCTAACTTCTTAAAATTGATGTTTAGTCGTTTCTTCTCTCGCTTTACTTTACTACCTTCTGTGGGAATATTTTTTAGTTTTCCTGTTTTGAACTCAGAATCAATATATTACCCGAAATATGGCTCAAGTCATATTCTTAAACAGACTCTCATATAGATATTATGCATGTCCTCAGAGTCCTTCACGAATGTTTATATTTTCATTTGTATACAAAAGTTTTTTTAGCTCAATGATAAAAAACGGCTTCAAGCGAATGAACCTTTAAGATCTGAAAGAAAAGAATCCTTCATCAGACATTATAGATTGGTGGAACACAGTCACAAAAAACATTATCAAATAACAAAAACCACATCACTTGAACATTTCCCGCAACAACAACAGCAAAAAAAAAATTACGGGGAGCACATGTAATGAGAAAAGAAAATAATGAAATAATTAAAATAAATTTCTACATTAATGCAAAGAAATGGTTTGGGAGGAAACTTTCATCACTACTTAAACGAGCTATAACATTTACTCGATTATGAAACATATTTTCCTGAAAAAAAAAACCCTTTAAGAAAAAGATTTTATAAATTCCAGCCGACCGCTAATTGTTCAGTTAATGAATGCCGAATGCTTTCCCGAAAGGAAAAAAAGGCTTTAAACTACTGAATTTAACATCACTTTATTCTGATGAAGTCCTAAAGGTCGAAACGCTAAAACTGTTTTCCACATTATCGCTAAAAATGTTAACGGCTATTTTCACCACTGCCATTACAATTAATAGAAATCTAACAATTTAATATTTAAATTTTGCCCTACTAAAGAAAGCGTCTCGGAGTCAATAGTACCCGGTTAGAAATCAAATCAAATCATCTCTATGGTTATGCCACGTTAATTTCTTCTCAATAAAACAGACGAGTCGAATCCAATAATTATTTCTCTATATAGGAAGAGAAGTAAAGGAAAATAACAATGTGGAAGAAAACCTACATTTGATTTCTAAATCATCATAATTAACAAAGGTAATATTTTTCTTTTTCAAAATGAAACTCAGATCGGTGAGAAACTCTAAGTTCTGAATAAGTTCAACTCTAAAAACAAGAGGAATATATCAAAATGGCGCGTAAAATGTATCTCAGTATATCGACCAAGAATCATTGTGCTAAAAAGATATTCCGTAAAATCAGCAATAAGAAGTCAGAACGTAAAAGGGTTAGATCAAGGCTTTATTAATATCTAAGTTAATATGTGTCACTGTCAAATCTAATTTTTGAATCTTTGTCATATTCTGAATGGATAAAAAATATATATATAAGATGGCAAACAACAATTTAAAACACGAAGTAATCAAATCGCAAAGTATAAAAATGGTGGAACTTTTTTTTATGTCGCTGCTGGGAAAATTTAAGTTTGTAACTAAAATGTCATATTTTCTCTGAGGAATTTCTATCAATTACAGAAAACTAAAAAGTAAAAATATCAACTATAAAATATCTACAATTTTGTGTATTTTGACTTTTAAAACTTTTCTTGAAAAATCATTATTATGAAAAAATAATTTTATTTCTGCCAAGAAAATATAACAGAAATATTTGGAAATGTTTGAATTTTTTGTCGCGTTTGACAGAAATCGTCCTTGATTGTATAAGCTTATTATGATTGAGATTTCGATGGCCGCTCATTCAAGCAAAAACACGGCGACAACAAGGTTATTTCTGTTAAGCCTTTCCATATACCCCGTCTTTTTTTTTAACTTCCTCCTCCCCTTTCTTCCACATTGTTATTTTCCTTCTTCTTCTGCTCCTCCTCCTCCTCCTCCTTCTTCTTCTTCTTCTTCTTCTTCTTCTTCTTCTTCTTCTACCCTTCCTCCACATTGTTGTTGATGTTCTTCTTCTTCTACATTGTTCTTTTCTTTTACTCCCTCTCCTTTTCTTCTTTTTCTTCTACTTCTGTCCCTCCATATTGTTTTTCTGTTGTTGTTGTTGTTGCTCTTCTTCTTCTTCTTCTTCTTCTTCTTCTTCTTCTTTTCCTCCACATTGTTCTTTCTTCTTCTCCTTCTTTTTCTTCTTCTACACTGTTCTTTTCTGATACTCCCCTTTCTCTCCCTCTTCTTTTTCTTCATCTTCCTCTTCCTCATTCACATTGTTCTTTTCTTTTCTTCTTCTTCTTCTTCTTCTTCATTGTTCTCTTCTTTTACTCCTCTTCCTATTCTTCATCTCCTTTCTTCTCCTTCCATTCCCCCATAATTATTTTCTCTTCTTCTTCTTCTTCTTCTTCTTCTTCTTCTTCTTCTTCTTCTTCTTCTTCTACATTGTTCTTTTTTATACTCCTCTTCTTTTTCTTTTCCTTCCTCCTCCTCCTCCTCCTCCTCCACATTGTCGTTTTATTTTACTCTTTTTCTTTTCCTTCTTCGTTTTTTTCTTCTGCTCCTTCTCCTTCTTCCTCTTCTTCTTTTTCAACTATTACTACTAATAATAATCCTATATCTGCTCCCTCCATCCTCATCCTTTTCATTCCCTTTCAAATCGAGTACAGTAATATTAGATTGTATGTGTGTATAGGTATATAAGAAAATTTATTGATGATGGATTCTAAGAATGTTAGAATATTTGCATATTATCCTAACATTTATAAAATCTATTTAGCAATCTCTTATAATCGAGGTCAATGTGTTTAAGCAGGTGCTTGGAATTATGGATACATGTAGACATGTTGCGTTCAGCAAGTTAGAGTTTTAAGTGTTTTAACATAATAAGCTTCTCCTACGAACACAAGTTACATCTGTCTCCCTTTTTCACTCTATGCCTTAGCTTTCGGGATTATCTCCTAGCTACTGGTTAGGCTCTTATAGTTGATTTAAATCGTCAAACATGCTTTGAAAGCGTTGTGCAGTCTTTTTTTTTTTTTTTTTGTATTTGATATGGCCCAGTATCATTTCGTGGTGGTAAAAGTGCGATTTCCAGCTGTTTTCGGTGTATCCAAAGTAATATTTAACGTCATCGCCTGAGTTTATGCTATGTCTGTACATAATGCCTTCAGTCATGCACTGGCCATTTAAAGGGCAGGGTACACTTTTACGGCAGTTACATTTAAATAGGATTATTTTTTAGTATTTTGTTTGAGAGATTGCTTAATACATTATTGTTATGTTGGTGCTTTGTTACTGGAGTTAGTCGATAACCTATATTGTGCCGATTTGTGTAAATTGTCAATTATCCTTTTACAGTGGTTGGATCTTCTGTCGACGTACCTGTGGTTGTATAAATCCCTATATATGGTCTGTACATGACCTTACTCAGGTCAACTGTAACGTCTAGGAAATTGATCACTTTAGCGTTAGTACTGATGGTAATGTTTAGTTTATGGTCCTAAAAGAATTTGATTAGGTCCTTTTCTTATCCGGTGAAAGACTAAAATAGAGAGATCGACAGAGAGATAGATGGAAGGATAGATGTGAAGAAACTCAGCTAGATAGATAGATAGATAGATAGATAGATAGATAGATAGATAGATATGAAGAAACTCAGATAGATAGATAGATAGATAGATAGATAGATAGATAGATAGATAAATGTGAAGAAACTCAGCTAGCTATCTAGCTAGCTAGCTAGCTAGCTAGATAGATAGATGTAAAAGAGGCTCAGATATGAAAGAGACATAGATAGATAGATAGATAGATAGATAGATAGATAGATAGATAGATACTGAACAAATTGAAATAGATAATAAAAACAGTGATAGATAGATAGATAGATAGATAGATAGATAGATAGATAGATATGAAGAAACTCAGATAGATAGATAGATAGATAGATAGATAGATAGATTCCCAATTATGTTTTCGCGTGAATAAAAGCATAAATATATTTAACGAAACACCTCTTCGGAAAGATATTTCATATTAATTACAGTAGGCGTTAAAATTACCCCAACGCAATATTTCGGATAGATTAATAAGTTATGTGATAACTCATATAGAAACCTAGTAACAGGCAAATAGTTGCCAAGCTGAGTTGATGAGTCACACTTTCGTCATATCAGCAAGCAAACGTGTTGGTTATTATTACGAAAACTAGAATAAATTGAGTCACTTAGCTCCCATATGATACATATTTTTCGCCTCAGTTAATGTAAACAATGTTTCTAAGTTGCTAGTTCGTCGTGCCATTACCGGTTTAAAACGACTCTTCTCTAAAGAGCCCGGGAAATTGATGCATACTTCTTTCTATAAACGACCGGAACTTAAAAGTAATTTAACACCCGTTACTATGAGGCTTTTAATCAATCGCTTGCAATGAGTTGATGTGCTGAAAAGAATAAAAGAAAAAAAATGCATAAATTAAGTGGCCACTAAAATATTTTATGATTCGTTTCGTTCAATTGTCGAATTATTAATGATAAATAAAAGTTTTGCAAGTGAATAGCTCATTATTCCTTGAATCTTTGCCAGTAAAAGATTACCTGAAATTTAATTTGGGTAGGCAGGATAACGGAAAGCAGTTAGACGGAGGTAGCTAAAATTGTCGCAGAGACATTGTGATAGAATTTATCTCCAAACTATTCACTGTTTGTAACAAAAATTGTCAGAAGCCATTAAGACGCATAGGGTTACTTGGAGTGAAAGAAACGCTGAAAATGTTAATAAAAAGAAAGGGCAATTTCCAACTACTTTCAATATTAATTAGGGTATTGTTTATTTTGAATAAATATTGTAGTATTCATTATTACCAGACAATAATGAATACTATAATATTTATTTTATAATGAACAATGCCCTGATGATGACATGGATATGTCGAAAATACTTGGAAATAAAAAGAATATGTATAAACACGGCGATTTTCTCTCATCCTTCAATAATGTCATCAAAAACTTATCCGGGAGTATGAAAAAGTCTTATCAAAAATAAGTAGACAGAACTTGTCTAAACTATATAACAAAACACGTATTATATATATATATATATATATATGTGTGTGTGTGTGTGTGTGTGTGTGTGTGTGTGCAAATATATAGAAAAATAGGAAAGAACAGGAGGTTAGGTTAATAATCCGAAGTTCTTTAGTATTTTTGTTTTTTTTTTAAAAAAACAGTGCTCAATATATATATATATATATATATATATATATATATATATATATATATATATATATATATATATATATATATATATATATATATATTGGTGCAAAGTACACACAAAATATATATATATATATATATATATATATATATATATATATATATATATATATATGATATATATATATATATATATATATATATATATCCTATATATATATATATATATATATATATATATATATATATACTTACTGCCGGAAGTCAATTTTTCTCCGGCGGAACCTAATTTTTCTTTATATTTAAAAATTTCTATTAAACTATTCTTGGAAACAATTCTAACCTTATACGATTTCGGATTGGAAATTACTCTCCTGTTTCTTTGTTCCGATTCCTGTTCGAAAGAAACGGTAACTCGTTTCTGCAAATCATTTAAAGTCTCATTGGAAACTACTGACCAATCCTACTTCTTCGGGTGCTTACTCTCATCTTACTTAAATATGACCTCCATAATCATTTTTATGGCTGTAACGAATATGTTTCGACAGGGCAACATACAGTTTTGAATTTAGGGTTGTCCTTCACTTAACCCGGTGACTAACCACGGCTAGAGAGACCAATGTCTTCTGCTATTTAACCCATAGCCGGGGGTGAAAAGATAGGTTATACCTTTACCGAGGCTACTAAAGCAAAAGTGAACTCGGTTCACTGATATCTCGTTCTGAGCCTCTCGCCATTTCACGAGTTCCTCATCGAATATTGAGAAACATGAAAAGCATAAAATGAATTTCGTCTCAGCTAAAGGATTTATGTTTCTTATCTTTTATAACCAAGGCACCGAAAAAAGTACAAAGAACATCTCCCGGATATGAACTTACCGGTCATAGAACGACTGTTAGCGATCCTATAGGTTCGTTACTCCAGAAAGTGGTCAGCAAAGTGGATGACAGTTAAATGAGTTTTACCTTAAGTAAAGGAATAGGGTATGTGTCACCTGCACATCATGCCAGAATATAAGCTGCACTCGGAGCAATGTCCAAGAAGCCAAGTGCTGGGTGGGACTAGTAACTTTCTAGCCGTCGAATTCAGATTCCCGTGACGGATCAGCTACACCAGGGTTTGCAAGCATAGGGAACTAACTGCGTGACACAGATATATACACACACAACAAGCAGTAAGGGAAAGACTTGATCAAACGTTGATAATTCATGACCCACGTTTTGGATAAGTGCTCCAAAGCCGCTCACACACACACTGGTTAAGATTATTTGCTGCTCGATCAATGAATGCCGACTGCTTTCATATAAGGAAAAGGCTAATATTACTATTATCATTAGAGATGCAGAGAACAGATACTACACTTTGATCCCATCCTGATGGCCAGGGAGTGAAGAAAAGCACTGGCTGTTCGCTCAATGAATATTGATTATTTCCATAAAAGGAAACGACTATATTGCCATTGTCTAAAATGACTTTACATCTTTTAAACCTGGAAAGCTTCATCGTCCGTAAATAACATTCTAGGCATTTATGGTTATTTTTGTGGTTTTCTTTTCAAGTATAAAAGTCAATCGGTGATTTTATTTGTGAAATACGCATAATAGCGAAGACAAATTTTTATTTTCTTCTCTTTTTACCACGCAAAACTTTGCCCGTCAAATAAATGTTAATTTTTTAAAGGCGTCAGTTCATTGAATGAACAAAATGAAATTAACGAAATACACATCTCAAAATTGAGTCAGTCTAACTCAATTATCTCCCTTGATGTCTACATTTCTAACTAACTTCATTTCCGTTCATTTATTCAGAATGATCAAAATCAGTCATATTGGTAGAGGCCGTTAAATTTGGACTAATTGATATTCGATAATATCAACGCCTGTTCAATGATTCAGGCATCGAAATGAACATCAAAAAGAAAACTTTTTATTGCTTTAAAATGAAATTACCATTCTTTAAGATGGACGTGTGAAAAGGAATCTCACTAACCTGGCAATGGATAAGCCTGGTGGCAATGTTAAGAAAACTAGTCCAGGAATTCTTCAAGACTGCTTAACCAGTAGAAAAAGATAATTCGATTTTAAAAATTTACGCTGATATTTTCTTAGAGTTCTAATCGATATTCCTTAGTCTGGTAAAAGTCTTATTATTGAAGGCCATATAAGGATTGATTTCGTTAGCATATCCCTATATATGTATATATAGATATCAACGTTAACATTAACCCATTACCTGCCATGAGCCCCATTTGGTGATCTGTTAAAATTAAACTCACTACATGTTATTCCTTGTATTTACATTGGATTGCTTACATATATTGGATTTGCAGAGGTATATTTTACAACACTTAGCCTTTAAACTTTTTATTATTAGCCGTAAGAAGACACTTTCTGTCGTAATTTTACATTTCACAAGTAGAAAAATAATGACTATTTTGAAAAGTATTTTTTATTATTTCTAATCAATATTATTTTTTGATGTTTTGTGCACATATATATTTGATCTTCTAGTTTCTATAAAAATGACAATGGTAACTACTGAAATTAAACAAGGAATAAATAAACTCCTAAGACACCTGTCTGGCCCAAAAATGCGCATTAAAAATGGCATTTAATGGGTTAACGGAAATAAAGCTTTGAAATACAGCCATACGAGAAACTATTAGAGTTCTCGTTAACTCGTTAATGTTAACCTGGTTGTTTGACACACGGATTTAATGCTATTAAATAAAACATTTCCAAATACCACCTAAATTTTAAATATATTCTCCCAGTCCCGGAATAGAAAAGACAATAAACTAATACAGAGGTTACCAAACTTTTTTTCACAGAGGGCCCTGTTACCTGGAGAATGATGAACCCGGGCCTGATAATCATTTTGTTTAATACAATACACTAAATGCACAAAAATAAAGACAACAAACATACTTATTTTCTAAAAAGTTATCCAAGAAAGTGACAATAGCAAAAAAATAGTTATATTACACCAAGTTCGCACATATCCGAATCTCACAAACTAAGCAGTACAAAGGTTAGAGAGATTTGTGAAACTAGCGTTTACCTTTTAAGATATAATTAATATTTGTTTTGGTATTGCTGAATCCAACCAAGAGAAATGATTTCAAATGTTTATCAGTCAACCTCGTTACATGTTCTGACTTTATACACTTTAGATTTTTTAAGTTCAAGCAAAATATATGACATAAGTCGCTGAAGTCAATCCTTTTTATATATACCATTATTGCCTGGGTAAAAAAAAAAAATACAAAAAAAAATCAACAAACAAACACGATGTTTGCCATGTTGACAGTCATTTCTTTTACAGACCAAAAACCAACCTTTGTCTTCTAAGGCTTTTTTTTATATTTATCACATTTTCTTTCCACATGTGTACCCAGGGTACGGCTATAAAATAATTCAGTGGGTATTACTCAATGTGTTCAACTTGGAACACGGTCTTGTGATTGTAGGAAGATAATTTTCAACAAAATAATCCCTGAAAATCGAGACGAACTTATTCATAGTTTTATACTATTGCCTCAGAGAAAGGCTTAAACTCGCTGCTCCCTTCCCTCTGCTTAAATAGTTTACAGTTCCGGTTTAAGATCAGATACATTATACAGAATCACCCTTGTATTCGTATTTATAGTTTGGGTGTGCCAATGGAAAGCTGACAACAAAATGGCCCAGTTTTTTAATCGTTTATTTTGGTGTGTGTGTGTGTGGGGGGTAATTTCAACTTCCACTTCCTTAGTAATATTTACAACTGATCCCGTTC